CTATGGAGATAGCTCGAGAAGTACTAGAAGGTGGCTAATGTACATGACGCATTTACGTATCAATGTAGCAGATACGCTACATACAAATGACTTCAAGTTCTTTGACGTACCTGTTATGAAATCTCTTGTCATTGTTAACTTGTATGCCTGTTTAGATGTAGGAGTACCATTGTTTCTCTTCACAGCTGTGTGCTACAAATGGAACTAAATGTAAAACAAAGAGCACACTTTGAAATTAGCAAGACCTGTACTGTACATAGCAGTAACAGAAGTTTATTATATGAAATCCTCCCCTAGTGAGATAGTGAGTTATTACAGACGTTTACTCGTAGTTTGTCGCCCAGTCCAGGATTACATCCACGAACAGCACACAGACTAACACACACACACACAGACACAGCTATTGATTGCACTGGTTTAAGGGTTTCTTTTTCTCACAAGATCAGTTAATCAGTCAGGGATGCAAATAAATTTTGTACATTCTTTCTCTCTCTTCATAGATAGAGAGAGAGAGAGAGAAGGAGAAGGAAAGAAAATGCTGAACAGTTTTATATATATGATCATTCCATTTCCTTGGGGCCACAATGTAACACACCAAACCACACATCACGCACAGACATCAACAAAAATTACAGATACGCCTTTAACCATAATAGTCTCCGTTTATTGTAAAATCGCCAAAAAGCGCAAAACTTTAAGCTTTCGAAACAACACCAGTCTCAATGAAATACAGCAGATATGACAATGTTGCTATCTAAATGTTTCAATGTTGCAGTCTGATTGTTAACAGTGGTTTTCATTGTTGATAATCTAGATAGAATAGAAGATGAACTTCATTTTGTAGTAGAATGTAGTTTGTATAACAGTGCGAGAAGTGAACTTTATAGACGAATAACATCGATGTTTCCCCACTTTACACACCTAAGTAACACAGACAAATTCACTTTTTTAATGAACTTAGACAAACCCTCGATCCTTAAACTTCTATGTTCTTATCTTTTCAACATCACAGAGAAGCGAAGAGAAGTCGAAATTATGTAACAAACTGTAGTGCTAGTTCTAGATTGATCTTGTTGTGTATATATTTGTGTATTCAAGTTAACCTTTGTACCTAACCCAGTGGGTATGTTTGTACAATAAAGGTCTTCATTCATTCATTGTTGATAATTTCCTCTGGGGACTAGAACCAAGTCCATGCTTGTATAATCGGAGTTCAATAAGAAATGCAATTTGCTTTAGACGTTAACATGATCGTTAACATGATCTTTAACATTCACACTGCATTTTTAAGTCAGTCCCTCACTTGTTAAAATCTATAGCAGACCATGTTATTATGAATGACACATTTATTTGTTTTTAAACACAGTTCACGTTCTTAATATGTCACAGATTTTCCGATACCGCCATGAAATATCCATATACTAAAACCATTGCAAATCTGCTGACATCATTGATGTACAATTGAAACATATGAAGAAATGACCGTAAACTTTTCTGTGGGAACTGTTATTAAACAAGTGTTTCATGTTTGATCTTAGTTGGATATACTAGCTAGGTGTTAGCTCCAAGATAGTGGACCTTAGTATATACCTCAGGCACATGGTACTCTTCCCTTTTGAAGTGTTAAAACACTTCAAAAAAACTTCCAAAAAGACTTTCAACTGTACAGACTTCGGATCTAACTTGCACTTACTGTTACCTAATGTCTACCTGACAAAGAAAAAAGATATTAATATTCTAATTCCTAACATGGGTCTCAATGATGAGCATAAACACATTCCGTGTGAATATAGTTTAACATACTTTCTAGAAGGATCTGGTGAAAAAAAGCAGTTTCCTATAACCGTAAATAATTTCATCAGGTTAGTAAACGAATGAATAGCAAAGTTCTTTGATCTCAACCATTTTTCACGACCCGACCTTTCGATGACATACATACTAGGCGTTGTTACATCATGGGGACATATACAGTTACAAATGTAAATTGAAAGACCAGAAAACCAGTCAGAATTACCCTGATGAAGATGACAGACGGTCATGTCGGCTCGTGAAAAATAAATGGTTTTGATAAAAGAACTTTGCTATTCAGTCTTTCCTATAACTCAAAAAGTGACATTGATCCAGCATCTGTTCCCTACCAACGATATTGGCACATCCAAAGTCATTGTTTTCTGTCTTTGGCTCGGACAGATACAATCGCTTGTCACACATTCTTATCACTTTTCTGAACAACAGTATAAAGCGTTTTAGGTGTTTTGTAAATACGTTCTTCTAGTGGTGTGGGTTTTTGTCCATTTAAAATTCACGATGTAATGATCGAGAGGAATGATCGAAATCTGCACCAATAAAATAGGAAAGCAAAACAAGCTGGAGTCGCACATCTGCTTGGATTGCAGGTACCGGTATTGGTGTGATGTCATCATTGTTGCACAGCCAAATGGTTTTCAACTGCAATAAAGACTCTGACTGGAGGACGTATGGCCAAAATATATTTTCCTTGCTCGATTTCGTCGATCATGTCTTTAGAAGGGTTGCTAAAATTTTGTGTTCCTTGCAGTATCCAACGACTTGACTGAACAGCCCCTAACTTTATAACTTTAAGTCTTTACTTAACATGTTCTAATGGGGTCTACCTCTATAACAGAACAGCCACGCAGATCCAGGTTTTGTAGTCATTTAGATATGCTAATTCGCTGATACCCAAGGGATATTATTTTTGCTGTTTTAAACATATTCATTTTTAAAGGATGACATGAAATTATCGCTTTCTGCTGTACAGAATCTTTTTTAGACAATTTTTCAAATGTTGAGTTTTTACGTACAAAATGTTTTAACTGTGCACGTGAATGAATCTCCTTAAGATAATAAGAAATAAAAGTTAAAGAGTGGCGAAAAGCTTCATGTAGTTAAATTTCACAAAACAAAACTCAAAACTTCTTGTCTCTCAAACAAGCTAGAAAAACAGAGTGGTGTCATTTTTTCACCAAGTAAAATAAACTGGGTATGATTCTGCCATAAGAAGGACATTGTGTGTCTGTATCTTTATAGGTGATAATAAAACGCAAAATGATTAAACGTATGCAAGTTCTATAATGGGACAGCATCTACTTCTATATGACAGGATCACCGGTTGAATTGGTGTCTTCCAGAATACTTCCAAGCATGAACAGGAAAATTTCCAAACTTAATGTAAACGTGGTCCCAGATGTTTATGCCACTCCGTACATGTAACCCCATGACTTCAGCTTGATCAGCCTTTGTAATAGTTCTTCAGTACAAAGACTGGAGAGTTTCCTGAACACACTCTCAAGGATCTCAAAAGGGGACTCTATAACCAAAATGCAGTTCACTCAGTAATTGGTATGTGAATATCATCTGACTTCATCAAAGTAGCAGACAAGCATAAGCCCATAATGACTGAATAAGTAAACTGCACATGATAGTAAATGATAACTGTAAAGATTATGCAATGATATTGCCCCATAAAACCATACAGACCGCATTTTATGGATGACATCTGATCCCACAATCTGGTAAGAGAATGTAAAAAAAAAGGCCTAGAATATTGGCCTCGACGAAGTTTTTTTGCAACTTAAGAGATGGTTAATGTACTTGTAAGAAATATTGATAAAACTCAGTACAACAAAAGAAACAGTAGTTAGATCAAGTTAGTTTGCTCTAACCCTATCCCTTACACTTTTTTACTCAGTGGGTACCAAAACGATATCGATGTATGTAGAAAAATTAACAGAAATCGCAGCAAAAATGTTGGGGAGAACAATGCCTTTTTTTCTTTATCAGCATTAAAAGCACCATTTACCATTTAAAAAAAGAGGCAAGGAACAAGAATCGAGATGATTGATATTGCAGATGTCATCCATAAAATCTTTTTTAAACAATAGTACATGGAAAATAAGTGGATAGGAACATGTACATGTTAACAAGACATGTATATACCCTTATGGCCGCAAGCAAACGCCATGCCAGTGTATCCTCATGGACGATCCTTTGCCATATTGCAAGGAAGTCTGGTGGTCACTCCATTCAGTGCTGTCGTAATGAAATGGTTGCTGTAAGTAGCAGTGCAATCTAACACAATTAAAAACAATAAACATTGGCGTTAAAAAACGCCAAGGCGACGTTCTTTTCTTATAGTGAGAGGTTACGTGTATTTTCGTTATAGTTGATAGAGGTTCTTGGTGTATATATAATGTCGATCTGTTACAGTGTTAGTAGCATATCTATTGTTTGATTAACTAATATTTTGTCCCTAGGAACATTTATACATTATAAAGTAATAAGGTGTGGAATTATTGTAAAATCATTTTTGATGCATCCACATCCACGCCGAGAAGTTCGCGGGCCATAAAGTTATACAACTTATTGTATACAAGACGAAGTACCGTTGCGTGGCTGGGAAGGGTGCTTTGTGCCGATAAGATTAATTACCTCCATGAAATGCAGGTATTGTTTTTGGCGTGTCTGTGTGTGTGTGTGTGTGTGTGTGTGTGTGTGTGTGTGTGTGTGTCTGTCTGTCTGTCTGTCTGTGTGTGTGTGTTTGTGTTTCCGCACATTTGTAGTCAGCATAACTTCAGAACGCCTTTATGGATTGTGATGATATTTGGTATGCTGGCAAGTCAAGGTCAAATATGGGTTTCCTGGTGGATGACCTTTATATATATATATTTTATATCATTATATATATTCTATATCATTTAGGTCTCATTAACACCGACCTACCTAGCTAGCTAAGTTTTATGACAATCCATCTGTAGCTTCACACACTCACACACACACACACACACTCTCACACACACACACACACACATATACACACACACACACACACACTCACACATACACATACACACACACACACACACACACACACTAACACTCACACATACACACACATACATACATACAAACTCTGTGGAAAACATAACTTTCCTGGCGAAGGTAAGAAAAAATCTTAATGAGTCAAGTGCCAATGCAACGACTTTCGACCGAAACCTACCATTAACGCTGCAGCCTAGAACCTCCACCCTCATGCTCATCCAGCCATGCCAGGATTGAGGCAGGAAACGCACGTACCGGGCATCAGTGGGACTGTCCAGCAGGTTGGTTACAGGGGTGTTCCTGTCGGTGTTGCCTGGAAACACCTAGACATCACAACCACGATAAATAATAGCAGTTTTTACCTCCATGAACAACAATTCGGAGATCTCACACCTCCATGAAATATGTAGAGATTATGTAAAATTGTTATTGGGGGATTTGTCTCATCGTATCTGGAAGTGAGGTCGTAATTAACAGTTTAGTGGGGTCGTGTGGTGTAGCGGCAGAGTGCGCGACTCGGAACCTAGAGGTCCAGGGTTCGAGTCCTGACATGCCACCGATCTTGTGCCTTTGGGAAAGGCACTTTACACGACTTTCCTCACTTAGCTCAGGTGTACATGAGTATTGTCCTGTCATGTATTTGTCCCTTGTGTTGGTGGCGGCATTAATATAAGTTGAAAAAACTTGAGTGTGTCGTAACCACGTCTGGTGATTACATGTTGGAATAAAAAAAACAGTTTAGTTTATGGTTTTTACTAAAATTACAATATTTTGCGTGAGGAATTCCTATCCTTTGGCAGTATTTGTAGTCAGCATAACGTCATAACGCCTTTATGGATTGTGATGATATTTGGTATGCTGGTAAGTCTTAGGAAGACAAGCGTCAATGTCAAATATGGGCCTCCTGGTGGATGTCCTTGGTACTGCAGCAGAACTTCCGGTTTTTGTATCTTTTGTCCTGAACATGCTATGGTCTTGACTTTTTGGTGACAGATAGCTTTTCCTGTCAGGAATAAGTGGTGTGGGTTTGGTCCCCCTAACAGCTTGTTTTGGAACTGCAAGGAACTTTCTGGCAAAATCTTTAAAAGCGAATAAGTCCTTAATGGAACAACGTATTTTCATTATTTTTGGTGTGTAGGTGGATTAGAGAGAGATGTACGTAATTAAATGCAAGTTATGCAAATTTATTTGCATAATTAAGGAGAAAATTCTTTAATTCATGTTTTACATAATAGTACTAGTACTTTTGTACAAGTAAATGTAATCTATTTAATCTCTGGAAGGCGGAACATCAACAGAAACCAATTGCAAATGATGACCTAATTTGCATAATTAATGTGAACATTCTGTGACTTCTTATTGGTGAATGATGGGAATTCTAATGCCTTGAGACATGTGTAAGTTACTTAAAGTTTAACACCACCATGCATATATTATGTTAATGTAGAGTTCATTTGCATAATTATTGAGGACATGTTAAAATAAAATGAAGTAAGGAGAGGAATTTTACACGAAAAATATTGTCATTTTAATTTAGAAAACCGTAAATTAAACTAGATTCTGCTAATTACGACCTTATTTCCGTCTGTATCTGTATCGGTATAGCCGGTATAACCACCCTTCGGCGTAACACACCATAATCAATAAGACAAATAAAAGAACATTTACAAAAACTCATATATTTCATGGAGGTATGAGATCTCCTTATTCTTGTTTTTAGATCTTTGCATAATATATTAGCTGAAAGCCGATACAGTAATTGAGACAAAGAATATCAGTGGTAAGTCAAAACTAAACCCTAAGAGCCGCTATGGTTCTTTTTCGTAATAGTTTAGGACGGATTGGATCCTTTCTTCTGTTTGATCTAGAAAAAGGGGATATATTTGCATATAACCTACCTCTTCGGAGCCTTCGCTATTTGCATACGTCATCCAACTAAGGCCATCTACACTGTACTGTAGTTTGTAGGAGGTCACCCAATCGCCGTTACCATGGTAGCGACCCTGGATGATGGTGCCTGTGACGGTCGTCATTTCTCCTAAATCCACCTGAATGCATAGATGTTCTTCGTTATAGAATGCACGTGAAGTACAAGCCGGGAAAATCTAACTACATATCTGGATAGCGTGCACTGTTAGCTAAAATTAGCCCACATTGTGCACAGCAAGCTACTGTCAGTGCAGCAAAGCTTTGACATTCACATTCTCAACACAACAGATTCGAAGTCATCAACATAGGATATTGTTCTGAAAAGGGAATTTGAACTTATCACACACCCGTTCATACAGACTCATACCCCTGTCAATCAAACTCAAAACCCAAACTCCACCTACTCACTTTGGAGCGTTAACATAGCTTTAACATAGATTAGCGACGCCTAAAATAATACGTCCCCATTCCGGAAATAACAGGTAGAATCGTGGTTGTTTTAATGTACCAAAATGTCTGCCAACCTGTAACCATTCCCCGATGGTGTTGCTACTGACTGACCAAGCGCCCTCACCAGCAACTCCGTTCAACCGACCGCGGTAGGGCTCGTGACCAACACCATACCAGGTAGAGGATGCAGTGATGCTGGCATCGGGTATGGCGCCAGATTCTATTCCAAGGGGATACGTGCAGACTAGTCCTGGAAGGACGAGAAAACTCTATTCAGTTTGGTTTGGTCCCAATTGAAAAAAAAGGAAAAAGGGGCCCTGCCGGGTAGTCCCCGGGCTGTTTTTTGGCACTTTCGGGCGTGACCTGTACGTGGTCCCGCGGGACACCCTGTGGCTACGTATACCGGGCTATTTTTGGGCCCGGCGGGGACCCGAGAAGAATTTAATTCTGACTTAAATTCTACCCGGGCCCCGCTGACAAAAAGACGCCGTAAACATCGTATGGGCGTAGTTGCTCGTCTTCCTCTATAGCCACTCATGTTTTATCCTTTCAACAAACTGTTGAAATTAGTATCTGCCAAAAACGTGGCAAATAGATAAATGAATGAGCCGATGCTACTCACAATGGGTCTTAGTGAGATTCCAGTTTTATGTACTTTGGGAAGGTCATAGAAGTTACGACAAACTTTTTTGATATAATTATTTGACATGATGAGGTATTAAAGAGGCATTTACATCAGGGCAATGTATCCATTCGTCAACAGAGACTGGGGCGCCGCAGACTTAATGCAACATTTGATCTATTGCTCATCGAGTCACGTGTCATCTGCATATTAACATGACGTCACAGAAGCGGTGGATTGCGCATTATAGGACGAAGTTGTCAAAAATTGGGGCAAGTCTAATTTCTTGTGTTGTAAATTACAGTTGAAGCTTGCTTCATAATGACCATAATTTAGTTTTTTTTTAATATCTGATAGAAATCAAGTTTTTTATACACGTTCACTCACCTTCGGGGCTCCTCTCACAGATGAAGTATTTTCTCTTGTCGCAATCGTCATCAAGCCACATGCCATTATTCACGTCTTTTCGAAGATACCCTGCACAGTCTTCATTGCTTATGTGCCAGAACAAAAATTTTCCAATCCCGTTGTCTGGCTGACTTGGTGACCAGTAATTGAAAGACCCGAGAGGGGTACCATCATTCCATTTCCATTTTCCTTCTTCCTTCTTATCATTCAGTCCAATCCAAAAGCCATGGATAGTTACTGGCATATTCACAGCATTTTTCAACTCAATTAAGAATTTGTTAATGTCTTTGTCTTTTGGCATTGCAAGATTTCCACCTATCTGCTTGCAGAAGCTTAATGCGCTTTGCCAATTAAGGTAAAAGTTGTATGCTTTGTAGCACTTCGTCTTCTTCGGCATATAACCAGCAGTCGGGCACGGATCTGAAGCAGAGCATGTTGAAGTTTGTTACAACATTAAAGTGACAGTTCACCTTTGTTCAACCCACAACCACTTTTATTATAGCACCTTTTCTGCAAACAGAATATAAAAATCACTGTTCTTTGCTTAAAAATGATTATCTATATTTCCCTATTGTTTAGTAACATGCAAACGAAAGCAAAGTAACAGATCATTCTCCATGTGCATGGTTGTCTGCTATACAGTCCCTTGATGATCAGAACATACCTTTTGCCTTTAGCAGACGCATATCATATCTCCATACACACAGAATGTTTTAAGTTAAAATGAGTTTGTATCCATTTACCTTACAGTTGCTAGAATAAAGAACCCCCCAAACCGATATAGCTCGCAATGATCAGTTTCAATTTTTTCCGATTTTGCGTGCCTTTCGAGGTTTTTCGGAAGATTCCATCAGTTGATAATCACATTATCATTGTGACAGCATTATACTTTATGGGAAAAATCTGTGGAGGGATCATCCCAGTTCAAGATTTGGATTTAATTATGTTTCACATCCTGATTAATATCGTCTTTAAACTTACCATAATCAACATATTTTTTCATGCTTTGACACACATCTTTGAGCTTGCTTTTCCCGGCTTGTACCGTAGTTAGAATGTCACCGTCACGCCCCTTGATTAGCAGAGCTCTAATCCATGCACGGTATCCACTTCCAATCAGTCCATAGATCTGTGCAGCTTTCAGGCGCATCTGCAGGTGAAAATTAACATTGGTGGACTAGTATCTACTGACAGAATAGCCAAAATGGCCATTTATAAACATCTAATATATAGCATGTACCTTGTAATATGTACCTTGTATCACCTAGCATGTAACAATTATTTCTTGGATGATTAACACCAAAATGTAGTTATATGACATTTTCACTGCTAGCAGACTACGATGAATCACTGGACCAGGTATGAGTAGTGGTAAAACATAGGAATGTATTCCTCCACGTTTACAGTACGTCTCTCACTGGTCAAGTCAAAGTACATGTAAAAGTGAAAAGGATTGCATATTACCTTTATACTATACTGCTCCAGGTGTCCTTTAAGTTGCTGATGATATATTTCGAACAGAGATTTTCCACCAAAGATTGATGACCGTGGTTTTACCATTTCCAACAGATTGAACAATACCTGCAAAAGTACGAAACAATTAGGAAACAAGAATTCCGAGATTTCATACCTCCATGAAATATGGGCTTGATATATAAATGTAAATTTCTTCTTTAATTATGCAAATTACCTCTGCATTAACATGATATATGCACCGTGATGTATGTTAACTTTTGAGTAAGTTACAGATGTCCCAAGTATGACATTCCCATCATTCACCATTAAGAAATCATAGAATTTTTGCATAAATTATGCAAATTAGGTCATCATTTGCATAATTAGTATCTGTTGATGTTCTGTCTGCCATAGGTTACATACATTACATGGATGAAAGTAGTATAATGTAAAACACTGTAATTAAAGAATTTCCTCATTAATTATGCAAATAAAGTCCTCATTTGCATAATTTGCATTTAATCATGAACATCTCTCTCTCAGCTACCTACACACCAAAAATGATGAAAATATGTTGTTCCTATCTGGACTTATTGGCTTTTAAACATTTCGCCAGAAAGTGCCCTGCAGTTCCAGAACAAGCTGCTAGGGGGACCAAACTCACACCACTTATTCCTGACAGGAAAAGCAATCTGTCACCAAAACATCAAGACCATACCATGTTCGGGACAAAAGATACAAAAACCGGAAGTTCTGCTGCAGTACCAAGGTCATCCACCAGGAGGCCCATAAGACTTACCAACATACCAAATATCATTATAATCCATAAAGGCGTTCTGAAGTTATGTTGACCACAAAGTTGCGGAAACACACACAGACAGACACACAGACACACAGACACACAGACAGACAGACAGACAGACATACAGACAGACAGACACACCAAAAACAATACCTCCATTTTTCATGGAGGTAAAAAATAGGAGTAAAAGCAAACGCGGTGCGGATAGGTCCTCCATTTCACATACACCAGTTCCCGATCCTTCAGTCACACGGATCAGACATTACATGCGTTAAAAGACTTAAAGACATGTTGACACCTGTAAGTTGAAGAACAGTCTCCAGGTGAATTTATCGTGATCAGTGCTAGTGTAATGTGACTTAGAGTGGAGCGGTCTTTTAACAGCCATGCAGCCACTGGCAGAAAAATCAAACATGGTCCATGGACGCAAATTACATGCATCTCCTCTACTGAAGTATCTGGTGAAATGTTAACTTACACTGTTGATTCCATCTGAGCCATGACTGAGGACGCTGTCTGCCCAACCTTGTATGTCGTCGATACCCTTATACTGTCCATTACTGAATTTCATCCTAGCAAGAGTGTCTAGCACGTTCCTTAGTCGTTGTTCGTCTCTGCCATACAGGATTACTTGTCGAAGGTACTGCTGTCCGAGCTTTAGGTCACTGACCTTTCGTGTGAAGTCATCAATCTTATTGTCCAGCGTCCGGAGTTTATCTTGGACCTCATCAAGCTGTGCGGTTGTTTTTGCGGATACGGACCCAATTTGGTCCATAGCGAAACCGACTATACCAACAACCGCTGATAAATGGGCGAGTGCTGCAGCCGCCGAAGTCGCCGTTAAAAGCGCCCGCTTGAAACAAATAAGCATCACATTACGTAATGAATTTAACAGCGAGGCCAATGTGAAATGGATCAACACATGCCCAACAAATCAACAAGTTTGCACCATTTTAAGTCCTTGATTCCTGATTAAAGGTATTACTAATTACCTTTGAGTTTTCTCTTTCAATCACATCTTGGGCTGATCCTGGAATGCAACAAATAGGTAACTGTCATAATGTAATAACTCTTTAGGTTGAACCAAAAAATAGCAATATATGATTAGATACACCTCGCACTTTGAGTAAAGATTTAAGCATGAACGCACATTCTATATACTTGACTGAAATAAATAACATATCCATGTATGGAGCTGATATGAGAGCCCTTATGACAATTACCTGTCAGTATCTGAAGGCTGTCCTCCAGCATATCAGCCACTTCTGCCTGATTCATGTTGCCGCCATCTAACACAGGGTACATATAAGGACAATGAGTGGTGGGGCGGATGCATCATGTTCATACTTAGGTTTTCTGTCACACAGTTTGCACTATTCAGCTCTCATTGCCTAACTGATTGGGCTGTGGATGGTTGATAAAATCATCCCAGGTGGTTTACATGGAGGAAATATAGATGTTATCCAAGGTGGCAGGTGAGTAGACAGAACAGGATACTTTCTGTTCGTCTACGAGAGCATTTTTTTTTCAACTGAATCATCTGTGTAATCCTTTCTATTGAGAGAATAGTTAATTTTGCTTTGATACCATGACCTGCACATTTATGCTATATTTCCCAAGCAAAAAATATGTAAAGATGAAGTGCATCTAAAGTATTTGTACAGCTAATAACCGTTTGGCATAACTTCTATATTTCCTACCAGGTAGAAAGTTAAGCAGAGCTCACACCTATTCTATTGAGAGAATAAGTTAAAGGAATGTGCCATATAAGAAAATTCCTCATCAATGTTACCTGTTATTTGCCTTTTGACGGAGTCAACTTTACAACTCCAGAGACCTTTGGAGTCACGATCAATCTGAGAACCAGGAAGACAGTCAATATGATAGCAGAAGCTTTCTGCTCCTCCACAGATGCAGTTGTCATGATCAGATGAACCCCACTGGACTCCTTTCTGTATAAAACATTTCATTTAAGTCTTTCAGCAAGTAGTTTGAAACACTGTTCAAGTACTGGCGGTGTAACCAGCAATATATATAGCAGTAAGAATATACCCAACAATGACAAGATTACATTTTTTTAAATAATAGTTATACATGTAGCAAATATAATGCTACTGTGTTACTGGTATTTTACTACTGACATAAACGTTGAATAAACAAAATGCAAATGCAGCACGCCAGGTGATATCTCTATCCTACTATTGTCATTTTCAATTGACGTGCCCAATTACCTGGTGGCCTTCACATCCTCCCATTACGATAAGTCCATCGTCAGCTACCCCGCGGAGGTCGAGAGCATTTCCGTCTGCTACAGTATGAATAAATGAATGAAAGGATGTATTTATGAGTCTCTGTATCACGGTCAAGAGCATCTTTTTCAGATTCTGATACGTACAGTATGAATGAATTGATGCATAAGCCACTATCAGCAACCATCACATTGTCAAATAGCTGACACGAATGCCCCTAGTTGTAACGGTTCTTTTTTTTTTGTCTTTTGTACCTCTAATTGTTGCATTTTCACCAGTCCAGGGCAGACTGATAGACATCTAGCAACACCGGCACCAGCTGTTGCATGTGGAGGACAATGATTGGTAACTTTACTATTTTATGAGTTGTTTGTTATCAAAGTTATGTTGACACTGTGCATACCCAGTACACCTATCACATGGCTTTTGTATTAGTACTTTATTTATTTCCCAAACGTTTTGATTTATGTTGTTTTGTGATGTGATGGCAATACATGATGGCAATATTTGACAATAAGATAACTGACGGTTGATTTGTCTAGATATGTCATTGGTATTTATTGTCATTCAATTTGCTCAGTTCTACAAGATGAAAAATTAAGCTTCTTAACAGGAAATCCCCCATACACACACAAATCAGTGCTATACCACCTCTGTGCCTATTACTTTATATGCCCTTCCCTTTTTTGGTCTTTAGATATCAGACATGTGTGGAGTATATGAAACTTGCCTGAACCAGTATCTGGAAAGAGCAGCGCACACCCAAGCAAGATGACACAGAGGACCCTCATGATGAGTCTTCTTTCTGAAACAGGGTTCATTGTACATGTTGTAAGAGTAAATTGTTGATAACACTCCATGTCAACGCAAGCTTTATGTGACTTTGTTCCCACAGCCCTGTATGAGTGTGAATGATTTTTTTTAGTCTACAATAAAGTGACAGTTTTTAAAAAATATTGTCAAGCCATGAGAAGGGTTCATAAGATGGAGGTAAACGGCAAGACATTGCCTTTGACATACAGTCAAAGTGGTCTAGACGACAAAGTATACCGACAAGTCAAGAATGAGACCAAGAATTTGACGTTCGAAGTCGCCTAATTCTTGAAAGCATGCTAGAAATTTTCATGTACGAGACATACGTATATTTAATTTAGTTGACTTATAACTCAACCGACAGTAGGCAGGATCACGTCACCTTGAGAGAACATTGATGAACCTTTAAGTTAAAACCAAGTTAAACTAAGTAAACCCAGCACCTAGAGGTCACGTCTAGCGAGATAATACATGTTAAACAGGGACGACAACAGCGAATTGGATCTTAAATAGTTCAAGCAAAAAAAAACATTGATACAAGCTTTTAGAATTGTCATGGCTTATGGTAAAGACATATTTTTCTTCCTTATACTTCTTCACCTTTTCCTTGTTTTCCTGCCATTTCTTTAAATGTATTCAATTTCTTCCTTTTTGGGGCCAATTTACCTGAAATTGGTGAAATTGGTATGGAGGTAGTACAGTGGGCAAATACCCTAAAGCGTTGTTGTTGTTGTTGTTTTTTGTCATTTTTATAAATTATTTAGAATTGTTTTATTTGTGTTGTTTGCCATTTATCGACAAAATCTGTACATTTGTGGTCTGGAGATCGAGACATTATAAGTTTTGGCATACACCTCTTTAAAATTGTATAGTATAATTTGGGACGTTTTGACTGTTTTCAGGTCAAAATTCACTGTATAGTGGGGTGACTCATAGGAATTAAATGCGGTACGGTTCTGGTCAAACACTTTGTTTATCTAGAAGTTAATTTGCTCTAGTCTGTCGTGGATACACGTCAGGACTATCCAGACCCATGCGTAGGCTTTGTGGATAAGCTCAGTGTTGTTTCCAATTCCAGGACTGTGTTTGGGTCAATCTACTTTCTTGGGTATACTACATCTGCTGTTGTATGTAGAATGGGTCAAGCCTTAGAAACTGATAGGACCTTTTTCATTTGGTGCAGAATGATACAAAACACTCACACTACATGTATGTCTAAACCAGCACAAAAAGTAAAATGTACTTTACAGAGCAAGAATTACACCGATTTCTGTCCCGACGAAAAACAAAATGGCGGCCGTTAAAATAGTTAAACAACAACAGGGGACAGCCCACTAATTCCAGCTCCTATTGGAATATATGGAAAACATTAAAGAACTGAGCTGTCCGTTGAACAATCACCTACTTGAGTGTTCAACTATTGTAAACACATATTGACAGGGTAGTCCAACTTCCAAATTGTCCATTTAGGCAAAAAATTTCACTTTTTGACCAGCGATTCATATCACGGCAAATGCAAACACTGGCAGCATGACCTCTGACCCGCTTGAAAACCACCAAAAGACAAGAAGATGGGATTAGTTTTAGAACTCTACCAAGCAGCCAGAACAACACTAACAGCCAGTTTTTTCAAGTTAATAGAAATAGAAATAACTCTCCAGCTGGAAAATACCAGCATTCATCCACACATACCAAGAAAAAGGCTGTTTTCAGTTGGTTTAACTTCACTCAATCAAAGGAGTCTCAGATTGGGCCCTCTGGGCATGCGCCATTTGGTGGCCTTTGCCCAACACGCTAACTTTGGCCTTTGCCCAACTTCCTCAAAACACTAAGCTCCGCCCCCAAAGCACGGTCAGGCACGGTTCGGGACAGTCCCCAGACACGGTTTGGGACACGCGCCATGTGTCCAAAACAATGCCCAGGCACGGTTTGGGACACAACAAAATCCTGTGAGACACCAGCGTTAGAGTTACCGTGTTTTTCCTATTTATAATTGCGTATGCAAGGTATCCATAGTGTTAACAAGAGTTCCGAGATCTCATACCTCCATGAAATATGGGCTTGGTATGTAAATGCCCTCTGCTTTAACATAATATATGCATCGTGATGTTAACTTTTGATTAACATACAGATGTCCCAAGTATGACATTCCCATCATTCACCATTAAGAAATTTTAGAATTTTCGCATTATAATTATGCAAATTAGGTCATCATTTGCATAATTAGTATCTGTTCATGTTCCATCTGCCATAGGTTACATACATTACATGTATGAAAGTACTATAATGTAAAACACTGTAATTATGGTATTTCCTCATTAATTATGCAAATAAAGTCCTCATTTGCATGATTTGCATTTAATTATGTACATCTATTTCTCAGCTGCCTACCTACCAAAAATGATGACAATACGTTGTTCCTATCTTGACTTAATGGCTTTCAAAGATTTTGCCCGAAGGTCCCTGCAGTTCCAGAACAAGCTGCTAGGGGGACCAAACCCACATCACATTCATGACAGGAAAAGGTATCTGTCACGAAAAAGTCATGACCATAGCATGTTCAGGACGAAAGATACAAAAACCGAAAGTTCTGCTGCAATACCAAGGTCATCCACCAGGAGGCCCATATTTGACCTTGACCTTCGTCTTCCTAAGACTTACCAGCATACCAAATATCATCACAATCAATAAAGGCGTTATGAAGTTATGCTGACTACAAATGTGCGGAAACACACACACACCGACAGACACACACACAGACACACAGACAGACGCGCCATAAACAATGCCTCCATTTTTCATGGAGGTAAAAAGGGTTCGTAAGCCATGTACGCTCCATATATTAGACCAGAAAGCGGTCGGTTGACGTCGGTTGAAGCTTACTTTGTCCTACCTGTCGCTCGCTCTTGTTTTCCCCACATAGTTTTTGCAAACTTGTCAATTGCCTACGACAAGTTACAAATTCACTTGAAATATCATTTCGAGACGCGGCGAGGTACAATTCGTTCATAAGATAATGTCGCACATTTGCATGTATATCTTTGTATCATTCCAGGAACTGTAGCACCAATTTGCTCTCTCTTCTAGGAAAGGGCGTTGGTGCTTTTCCGACTCACTTTTGTGAAGATAATTTACAATATGGCGCTTGGGGCATTTCACTAGAAGTGTTAGTCACACTGTAGCTAGGGACTGTACGTTATTTACCGGGGAGGGGGGGCGGTCGTCTGAGAGGACAGGGCCTAAGAAAAAAAGTTGCGACGCGGGGAGGGCATAGGGAAAAAATTTCCAAGATTCATTTAACGTTTTTATACAAGTGTAAAACATGCGTCCCATACATATCATAGTGATTTTCCGGTTATTAGAATCGGCCGAATGTTACATTCCAATAATATCTATCCCTATTATTCTAATGGATTCGCCCATATCTCCCACAATCCCCTTCGAAATCTTGCATTTTTACCAAGAAGCGGCGAAACCTGACTACACAGCAAACGTACATGGATAAAAATCGCGTTTCGCAGCGGCGATCGAAACGATATCGATTACAAATGTAGCGAAGGCTTTTCGGAAGATTCTGAAGAAATTAGTTTTCGCCGTACAACGCAACCTTCCCAGCCCCAACGGCATTTTATTTCTTGTATAAAATTGTACATGCGTCGGCAAAGGTCCCGCTTTTCCCGCCTCGCAACTAGCTTGAACTTCTCGACGTGGATGTCGACGCATTAAATTTGGTACATGTATTTTGATTAAACCAAGTACTACCTCAACATTTATTTACCTCTCTGAATGTCCTTCCTACGTTGATTGAAAACAACACGTAACTTGGCAAAAATTTTAACAACAAATTTACTTCTAGTAACAACTACGTTTACATCCTGTACGGCGTAATGAAGAAACCAATAACGCCTCGAAAAAAAAAGCAACCCATATTAATGTAGACCGTCTCACAGTGACCCGATCGCCTGAAAACCCAACTCAACCGAGTTGATATTTTTCGGGATCGAGCTGTAGAAGGACGCTCCCATCCCCTAAAGCTAAGTAATTATGCTTCGGTAATCGGTCGGGAGTAATAGGTTTGACCTGAAGATAGGCGTACCTGCAATTCTAAACAAGTGGCTTTGGTACGGTAAAGCCTTATGTACATCGTGAATGATAAGATATGAATGAAAGAACAAAATATCAAGGTGTGTGTTCAAACGTTCACGCGTCCTTTGGAATTGTGGTGCGCAAGAACCCAAACTGGCCATAGGTTATTGTATCTTTCCTCGGATGATCCAAACTCGGAACGACCTTGAGTCTGTTGTGGTGGAGGCGGTGTCTCTCGCCAAGCACGAACAAAATCACCTATGTTTACTTGTCTTCTTATCCATTATTCTACACACCTTAGAATGTTCTGCAGAACACAAATCAGCATTGCCCTTGAGACTACGGAGTTGTCAGCTAAATTGACGACTCGGTAGGAGAAAAAAAAGCCACTGTGTGCGGAGCCATACAGTAATTGAGGTTGTTAGATCTTTTACTTTTAGGGCAAATGAATGTGCTCTAGGCCATATGTGATGGGTCACTGACATAAGGGATCGCTCATTTGACGGGCTTTAAAAAAAACTGCGTCGGTTCTTGGAACTATAGGCTCGTCGGTTCGTTTGCAGATTGGCAGATAGGGCAAAATAGGGAAGCGTGTGCTAATTCCTGCGTCGGTTGTTGAGATTGTGAGTCGACTTGTCGGTCAAAAATACGGCGGGGTGTTTTCAATCCTACGTCAGAATTGTTGAGAATTACATGTAGGCGGAACGAACAGGGACGTCAATATCTCCACACGATTTCAGTAATCGAGAAAGAGAAAACTTTATGGAGCAAACATGTTTTAAAGCAAGACAAGGAAAGTTTCTAAATTAATTCTATTGGCACTTACCATTCGGTATTCGAAGTATGCTTACTTTCTCTATATAATGGGTCCAGCTGTAATGAACCTTCCCCATGTCAACTTAAAATCTAACTACTGAACTTTTAACAGACCTGTGTCATAACGACTCTGGGTAGTTCGACTATTTTACATGGGTTATGTCATTGTATAAACTATTTTCGTACATACCATCGACGAGAAGAAGACATACGGTGAAGCTAGGAAGATATCACAAGCAACTCACTGTTGGAATCTGTGACGTCGGTCCAACTGTAAGGTTGTCGCTGCATAATTAGTCTGGCTGGAATGTTTTCAAAAATGCCTTCTTTGTCTGAAGTGCTCTCTCGAATAAGTGCGGCGTGAGGCACCGATGTGGTCACTTTTATTACGGCGTAGGAGATTGTCTTGAACCACAGCTTGGCTAAACGTAATATTTCTTTTGTACGCTGTACTTAAAGGTGCCCGTATGTGCCACTGGCTTTTTCCAAGAAGAGGAACAATTGGGAAGGAGTGGCGCGATCATGTGATGTTAAGGGTGGAGGAAACAAAGAACGACGCCTTTGTAGTTGAATAATAGTAATACAACTGTTCGTTTGTACTTTAGGTGCCCGTATGTGCCACCAGCGTTTTCAGATATTTGGCTGATGCATAATGGAGATAGGAGTGGCGCAAACATGTGCTGTTGTCGGTAATTTGTAAAATCACTACCTGTGCTCAATCTTTTTCTAAATAAGGTATTTGTAGATTCTTTAGGGGTGGGTGGTTGGGGTCTTAGATTAGCGGTAACGAGTTCATGAGGCAACTAAAGCTATTTCACTCACAGCCAAATATGGCCTACGGAACATTAGCGACCCCCCCCCCCTCGACCCCCAACAATGATTAGGCTGTTCCAGCCGAAAGTTTAGAAATATTAAAAACATTCGGGTGTGGACGGGAGTAAGGGAGGTGGGGCCCAAGGTTATCTGGTGCTCGCCATAACTGCACGTAAACACATGTCAGATTTCTAATCAGGTGCAATCAAATCGACTGGATTGTGCTGCAGGACTGTTGAACAGATTATTATCTTCGCCAAGAAGGTTATGTTTTCGTGGCCGTGTGTGTGTGTGTGTGTGTGTGTGTGTGAGTGAGTGTGTGAGTGTGTGTGTATGTGTGTGTGTGTGTGTGTGTGTGTTTTTGAGTGTGTGTGAGTGTGTGTGTATGTGTGTGTGTGTGTGTGTGTGTGTGTGTGTGTGTGTATGTATGTGTGATGTGTGATGTGTGTGTGTGTGTGATGTGTGTGTGTATGTGTTGTGTCAATTGATAGAGTAATTCATTCAAATTCATTTGTCGAAGGTATGACCTCGTGGAACTCTAGTTGACCCTATTTTGGAATGCATGAGTGAATGAATGAATGAATGAATGAATGAATGAATGAATGAAACACGACATGTAACATGATATACGGTTACACGGTTAAACTAGTTGAGATATGATCAGACAAAGGGAACCGGACTCAAATTCCTGTATGTTGAATCGGAGCGTGTTGACAGGAACTACGAAACAGGTCTAGAATAACACATAAATTTATTGACGAACATGGAATGTATTAGTTACGTGAAACATCAAACATTTTGGAATATAATACATGTATGCAAGTCTCCACGCTGACGTTTCGGGGCCTAAAATCACGGCGGTCAATTTCTAGGGTAAAGTTTCCAATTCTACGGAGGGGTATCAGGTTACCGGGGTTCCACGCGCGGGTTCCGTGGTGACAGTCTCAACGGTAAACATTATTTTCATCAGTTATAAACAGTTTCACGGGGACTCTCTTGTTCAAATGTGATAAAATCCGCACTGCATATAGCTCAAATGTTGGTGTTTTTATTACAATGCTTAAATGTGCGTGAAATCACTCTCGACGCGTCGAATGCTTATTCTAGAACAATCGACGTCAATAACCAAACAACTGATTTAAACCGACCCCAAATCTCTCCGAAAATTCCATATTTTTGCATTTTAGAGAACAGTATAACAAAATTAAGATTTGAGTCGGACAGTTTTCTTCATTTCAAAGTTAAAGTGTTGGTAAGATAGAAAAATTCGCCCAAAAATGCACTTTTTCAACTTTCAAGACGGATAATTCCAGAACGCCGCCATCTTTAAAAAATCCGTCCGACACAGATCGAGATTTTTGTCTTACCTACAATTTAAAACGTTTTTGAGGTAAATTGAATTTGTTTTTCTTGCGGTTTAAATACCATGTTTGCACGCATGTCAGGTCGTGTGAGTAAGTACAGGGGGTAACTTATATCCCCGTAAACAACAATTACGATCTTCAAGGTCACACACGATAACGGCAGTAGCTTCGTTACATGTTACATATCCACTATAAAACAGGGCATAGATATACGGTACCGAAATTGGTTTATATTTGTGAAAAGGTGATTTTTTGACTGTTAGGCGGTACCGTGTAAAAACGGGCTTGAAGCCGCGGGTTTACTGTACATGACCGCGGGTAACCCCGGATCGAACGAACGTTCGGTTCGATTGACGTCATATCGAACATGATTCGATTCGAATGACGTCATATCGAACATGGTTCTGTTCGATGAAAAGGTTGGAATATTTGGGCCCAAATTTGACCATCGTGAATCGTAACTTCAGGCCAAGAAACATCGACATGGCGTGTTAACCCCATATAACTGTTGCCGCTAGTGTATACATAACAACGTCAGAGTGCGTGTGCCAACGCGCGCGTGCCACGGTCGGTCAAAGTCCGGTCAGTGATTACATATGCGCTACTTTATTAGAACTTGGGCGGCCATGTTTTACTGGTACCTAATACTAGCGAGGTCCGTCTACCAGCCTTTTTTTGTTACATCCCAACTCTTTATAGACTAGTTTGCTGGCTAAAATATGGAGAGGGCCAAGTTGGACAGGTCTTCGGAGACGGTGGAAGTGGAATGGTCCGCGGGAGGGGTGGACTGGTTTCCATACGTTTGGCTGAGGGACAACTGTCAGGTGGGTCAACGAAAGTGGTAGGTTCCAGATAGACTTGGGGAGCTTTCGACATGTTGTTTTCACAGTACAGGCCTCGTCACAGTAGCCATAACCCTCTGAATCCTACGAACCTTCTGTAGTTATAAATTAAAATGATTTTATGGATTAATCTCGAAGCAGATATTTTGGTAGCTGCAAGACAGTATCAAATTGGCCGTGCAGTTCCCACCCTAACGCTGTCATAAAAAATCCACACCATTACAAAGAAACAATGGTTGATAGAAACACATAAAAACAGGTCGAAACCTAAACCTCTACTTGGAGAGTATTTATGGATATGTCAATAACTCGAAGCAGCTGTAGAGAATGTTGACTCTTGATAATTTTTAGTACCAAACATTGAGAGGATGACGAAGAAAACAGTTATAGTAATTTTTTTATTATTATTATTCACAAGCACAGTGATGAATACAATTTAAAAGGACATGGACTAACTGACCGCAAACTCAAGTTAGGTACAACTTATATTCTCGCAGCCACTATGGTAATTAATGAAATGATCATTACAGTAACTATACTCTTCGTCGTTTGGAAACAATGCACATTTTCCAAAAAAATACTACTTGAATGTTTCCATGTTCTGTTTTGACCCGGCAGTGCTCAGAGTGTTTCCAGGTCGACCTAAACAAACGCTTGGTGCTGACGTCACGGCTGGATCTGGACGTTGCCCCCGACCATGCAAACGTGCAAGGTGATTTTCCATAGAATTCGATGGTGTGGCATTTTCGAGCAGTTAGCAGCTAAACCAAAACCAAGAACTTACACCTAAAAGGATGTAAAAATTCATTTTCGGTGATAAGGCTGCTGAACTTTGAATGATAAATGTATAAGACATGTACATTTTGTACGACTGTTCCAGGAACGCCTTCAGTTTGCGATCGTCATGACGATCACAAAGTGTATGTGATCGCATCCTAAGGCTACTATTTCTTTGTATTTCCTATCACTGTATTAAGACACTATACTGAGGAAGATACAGCCTGATAAAAAGGAAGCCCGATAAAAACACCTATTTAGTAAAATATATCAAAAATAGCCCGACGCCTAAACCTCTGCTTAGGGACTTTCTATGGATGATGTTAGAGGATTGAATGTTATGGTATTGCAAAGTACCAACTTGTGACAAATCTAGAGTCTAACCACTCATCTGCTTGCCAGTGACGTCACTCAAATGTAGCACTTCTGCTCATTTCAGATAGGGGGAGCACGTTACACGTGACGTGGCCGGACGGACACCGGAGCCAGTACGACTGGCAGTGGCTGCGGGACCGCTGCTTCAGTCCCCAGGCCAGGGCGGACAGGGAAACACGCTGGAGGAGAAAGGTAATTAAAGCCTTGGTCACAACCCGCCGTACGTGCATCTGCGTGCGGTCTACGTGCAAAAACGTGGGCAATCGTAGGGCATCCGTGCGTTTGTTTGTTTGTTTGTTTGTTTATTAGATCTCCATTAGATTTACATGAAATCTATTCTTCCTGGAGTCTCAAAATTACAATGAAACAAATGTACAGAACAGAACAAAACAAATGTACATGAAAGTAAAACCAACATAACAAAAGGTGTGAGTCTTAATCAAGTGCGTGGTGAGTACCACCTCCGTACGGAATCCTACGGATTTGGGAGCACGCAGACACGCCGTAGAACTTTAAGTGTAAAACTTTTTCTACGTGCGGTCTGCGGATTCACCACCCGTACGTGCGAGTACGGCGACGCACGTGCCCCGTACGTACCGTACGGAAGAAGCACGTGTGAGTACGGCCACTCTTACACCTTGCGCAACCGTGCGAGTGACGTGCGAGTGAAGTGCGTAGACGCCACTCCTTCCCCACGTTTTCAGAAAACCGTAGCAGACGTAGCCTCCCCAAAAACGTACGGACAAAAAGCACGCGCGCACGGTTGTGACCGCGGCTTAAAGGACAACCTGATAAAACGCACCGCGCACCGACATTTGAATTTAGAATGTTCATGATTTGTGTATCTGTTTTGTGTATCTCTGCAATCTTTCTCACGTCTGCCATGAAATATTTCTACAGAAGCAGCTCTGGGGAGCCGAACTCTTCACAAACCTCCCCACGGCTGATTTTCCCGCGCTTTTGTCAGACGACCGCGCCTTGTACGACTTCCTGTTCCTCCTGGACACCATCGGCCTCGTTCTGGTGCAGAACGTGCCACGTCAGCCCGGGCAATTTCTCCAGCTGGCCAATCGCGTGGCGTTTCCTAAAATGACCTTCTTAGGGTCTGTATATCTTCTTTTTTTTCTCAGTATTTTCTATTGATCAATTTATTAATCGATTCCATGATACACATAGAATACAACACGGTGTATTCCGTATCGCCCGAGGTACCAGCCCGACCGCGGGTCGGATCGCCCGACGGCCGAACGTGTTGTATTTTATTTATGCCATACCCACCCAATAAAACAGACATTTTATCCAAAACATCCGAATTAGGTGTTCGAAGTTTCCAAAGCGGCAAAACGCGTTCGAATTATTTTCTGGAACGTTTGGAAGCCCGTGTGATAACAAAATAAAACCCCAGGCCGGACCGCTAGTTATCACACGGGCCGGAACACCTGTATGGATTTATCGCGAATCAGGAATGACATATGCCAAAAAACAGTTACTCAAGCAACTGGATATGATTTTGAAAACGTCAAA